ACATAAAGTAGTTTGGTTGATTTGCCGAATTCCACTTTGCTTGATTCCAGCTGGACTTTTTCCTTTACAGGTAAAGGATGGTGTAATTATTGAGCTGTTTCCTCAGACATGAAATAAATGGTTGCCACAATAGCATCTTCTTTAGTGTTTTGTATCTGTCAGCTGCCTTACTTCAGGCATTGTAACTGAATTACAGCATATGACACTGTCTCTATCTTCTGGCTTTCCCACAGCAAAAACTGGGACTGTTACGGATACCTAAGCTCTATTAACTCTAGTAATGTGAGTTTCAGTTGTGTATGTGTTGTATACACATGCATATGGAGGGGGAAGACTATTAAACTTTTAGGCCAGGCTTACAGTCATCTAAGGTTCAAATTGTTCTTTAATAAAAACTGAACTGGCCTACCTCTCTGCATTTAATCAAACACATATTTCAAACTTTTTTTTTTTTTTTTTGTGAAACTGAAAATTCAATTCAAATCAGGGCTCATCTCACCTAACAGCTTAGTAAGTGACATATGAAACTGGATGTGGTGGTACATTTCTGTGATCCTATGCTGGGAAGCTGAGGCAGGAGTTTGAGCCCAGACTGAACAACTTAGACCCTGTGTCTAAAAAGGGCTAGGGGTGTAGTTCAGTGCAAAAGTCTTGGGTTCAATTCCCAGTACTGCCAAAAGCCCCCCAAAAAACCAAACCAGTAGGGCTGACAGTGCTGTGATAGTGTTTGCCAAGATAGTCATCTGTCAAGTGGACTTGTGTGCCTGTTTTTTATATGAACTACAAACATCCAAATACGGTCATGGGATCTGATTTGTCTTTTGCTCAGACACAGGCTGCTTTTGCCAGTTGCTGATTTTCAGGGCTCTGTATTAAAACAAGTTTTAGGGGCTGGGGAGATGGCTCAGTGGAATAAGTGCTTCCCTGGCAAGCACAAGGGCCCGAGTTCAATCCCTGGTTCTGCAAAATTAAATTAAATTAAAAAAAAAATAAAACAACTTTGAAGAAAGCATACTTATTCTGGGAGGTCTCATCATGACTGGGAAGAGACATGGATTTTTTTTTTTTTTTTTTACTCTTCCTAGTTAAAAATTCCAGAGCGCTAGGGAAAAGACTGAAACCTAGAAGCAATTTTAATACTTTAAAAGTCCTTGACTAGGAATATCACACAACTTATTGTAAAATAATGTAGCAACATCCACAACTCAAAATTTGGGAATCAGTGAGATGCTAGAAGATCATGAGCAATAAATGTTAGCACCTTTGAAGTAAAGGAGGCCGGCCAAATAGCTCAACTGATTTAAGTGTCTGCACGCAGGAGCAGGGGTCTAGGGTTCAATCCCCGGCCTTGCCATGCTGACCCTGGCCCCAGACCCGTTGAGACGGCAGTCAAGAGTGGGCATGGTGGTGTGCGCCTATAATTCCAGTTCTTGGGAGGCTGTAGTGAGACCCTGAACACCCTGTATACCTTTACCTAAAATATACCCCCCCAAAAAAAAATTATGTATATATGCTTAAAAAAAGATGGGGGCTGGTGAGATGGCTCAGTGGTCTAAAGCGCCAACTTAGAACAAGCTTAGCAAAGCATAGGGACCGTGGTTCAATCCCCCAGCACCACATGCCAGCCAGCCCTGCCCCCTGGTGGGCTGAGCTGGCCACACACACACACAAATAAAAATTAAAAAGAAAAAAAAAAGATGGGTTTTTGCTGTTGAGAATTTCCAACTCTGCCTAGGCTAGCATGCCAGCCCAGTTAAAACGAAGTTTGAAGAAAAAGTCATAAGATTTGATAAAGCCATTAGCCAAGTTTGGTAGTACATACCTGTAATTCCAATAGTTGGCAGGCCTGAGGCAGGAGGATCAAAACAAAGTCCTGCCTAAACAAGTTATCAAGACCCTGTCTTACAATTGGGCCAAGGTATAGCTCAGTGCAAGGGCCCTGGGTTCAATCCTTAGTACTACCGTCCTCCCCTGAAAAAAAGTGAGCCTCCTAGGGCTTTCCAAAATCTGTACATTTTAGAGCTAGAAGAAGCTGGAAGAAAATTTTATTACTATTGTGTTCCTGATTAGCTTCCCTTGGCACTTTAAAGTATTCTATTTTATTTTTTTTTTAAATCAGGTACTGTAGGCCTACCAGTAAAAAGATCAGAAAATCTAAAAACCTAGCAAGGAAGAAGGCATACTAATACTATGGTAAATAGTGACTAGAGTATCACGAAGAAAGATGACCACTAAAGGCAATGCTGTGTGGCAAGATGAGTTTCCTGGATATGGCAAAGGAGTTTTAAGTCCTAAAGAAGCGGACTTGTGATCCAATAAAGAACACAGCATGGGCAGAAGAGGAAATGACAACAGCTTTTTATGCACTGCTGACAGGAAAGAGAAGCCAGTCACCTAAAGTTCAGACTCATCTTAAGAATCAGAGGGCTGGTGAGATAGCTCAGAAAACTAAGCACCTGCTTAGGCAAACGCAGGGATGGGTTTGATCCCTGGGACCCGCCACTGGGCATGCTGAGCCAGGCATTCTGAGCTGGCAGTGGACACCAAGCATGGTAGTGCATACCTGTAATCCTTGTGTTGGGGAGGCTGAAAACAGGAGGATCACTACAAGTCTGAGCTATGCAGTAAGACCCTATACTAACTACGTTTTTTTTTTTTTAAATGAATCAGGTACCTACTTCAAAAACATCCAAGAATTAACTACTTACATTAACAACCATTCCTGGGAGAGTAAAATCTCAGTAACTAATGATCTCACTAACTCATTAAATATGTTGGGTATAGTCTTTGTTCTCAGCATGTGATCCTGGGGAATAGAACTTCTACTCTCCAACAAGTATTTCACTTACAAATTGCACAAGTGTGTAGGATAAGACTGCTAAGAACCAGAGGGAAGACCTCTGTTACAGTGTTTTGTTTTTTTTTTTT